AGATCTTGTAAGAGGAGGTACCATCCAGAAGAACAGGCAACATGACTAACAGGTTCTTGAGTGGGCCCACCAGGAGAGTGCACAGTGTTGAGTCTTGAGCTCTAAGCAGTGGTTCTTTTAGTCTAAGGCCATGTGGGACTGCCCATAGCCAATAGGCCTGGAGTGTCCTTTGTGCAGAGACTAGGAACAGCTTTTGCGGGCCTGCTGCTCTTCTCCATGTCCCATGCTGTGCTATACTCTGGAATGGCGCTTAGTGAAGCTGTATCAGTTTAGCTCTGGGGCACTCTGTCAGCCCTGCTGGATGGACAGTCCCCCAGCCCACTTCCTGAACAGACGAGACAACCTGCTGTTTTCTCCTTGTCTCTTATCGCCCCTTGTCATTAAAGGAGAGGCCTGGTGTTGACTTCAATCTTTGCTATTCTAAAGTAGTCCAGAGGAGGAGAGGGAAATGCCCAACCACCTCCTCCTTGTACTGCTCTGAGGTTAGCTCTCTCCTTGGGTAGGATTAAGCCAGGAGTAAATTCCTGCATATGAGAGCTAAAACTACACAGGTCGTCAGAGAGCACTGCAGGCTGGAGGGGAGGTGGGGGCATTTGGGGGACTCCTCAGGCTACTCTCTCCCTTTTCCTCCATATGCCCCTCCCTGCATGTCTAGAATCTTGGTTGGGATGTGCAGTGCAACTTCAAAGGCTTCCCTCAAGTTGTGTTGTTTTGTTTTGTTCTTAGCAGTTCTGTGTTTCCCAGGAGAAGCTTTACCCTGAGAGGGAAGCTTGCCTCCTCACTCCATTAGCATAAAGTCAGATCAAGGACTTCACTCATTGGCATTCTTCTATTCCCTTGGAGCCTAAGCTAGTCTTCAATTTCGCTTTTCTTAGAAAAGCAGGAGGGGAAAGTGAGTATTTTTGTGCCACTCACAGCTCCATGTCTTAAATTTCTGAAGATGTTTAGCCAGGGTTTCCATCGGGCTAGGTTTTCCTTGGTCATATCCCTGTCTATGCACCTTCTTGTCTATGGCACTCAAAAATCAATTTCTTTCAATATGTACATAGAAATTTAACAATATCCTGCCAAGAACTCTTATGTTCTTAAAGTCTCTCTGCCCAACCAGATGTTCCTACAAACCTTACCACAAACCTGCCAAGGAAACCCAATCCAACTTGTAATTCAATCTAAATGTTATAATTTCCCTGAATCAAACTTAGAGAAAGGGGAGAAAAAGAAATGAGGGTGTGAGCTTGGAGTTATCCTGCATGATCCAGTTTAGTGTACTGACGGGATTTAATTTGTGTAAGAACAATCAAAATCACATCAGGGGAGAAAAGGAACCTGTGTGGCGGAAAGGTGTCTTGTTATCTTGACAGCAGTGCACAGGGAGCCCAGAGATCTCACAAAAGTGGCCTCTAATTAGAGGAGACAATAATGGCAGGGTGAGCCCTCCTTTTCTGGATTGCGTTAACTGCTGTGGGCTCAGGAACTGGCCTAATGACTTCCCCGGGACTTGGTCTGGCGCTTTATCTATCCACTATAACAAGACCAATGGCCAGGAAAGCCCGAGATTTAGTTGCAACAAAACATGCTCTCTTCTCAGCCTACGCTTGCATCTCCATTGCCGTAAAAGCCACCATGTCTGGGTGCTCCCGCTGCAGGACAGCTCGTAGGGGCAAAGGAGCTGGGGTCTGTGGAGAGAGCTTGTCTGCAGCCCTTCTCTGTTCCTTGTGCTATTTAGCTGCTGTAAAATGCTTAGTTAAGCCTAATTGAATTTGACAATAATAAATTACATATTGAAACTGAATAGTTCACCTAAGGAATAGCAGTGAAAATGGCAAGACACCAGAAGCCAGATTTAGGAAATACCATATTTACATTAAAATGCTTTAAATTTTCTTAGAGCTTTGTTGCCTGTTTTTTTTTTTTCCAGAAAAACTCCAGACCACCCATTTCATGAAGTTCTTTGTAGAAATTCTGTAGAAACTCTACATAAAATCATCACTTAATTCCAGGTTTGCCTGTGTTGTCATATGGTAGTGTATGCTCTGTGGAGAACCAAATAATTCAAAGTGGAGAGCAGTAAACATCAACTCATTCTTTTCATCTGTTGTTAGGGACTGCTTGGCCCTATTGGAGGATTTCGTGGAAGTTCAAATGTCTTAAAAGACTCAAGTATAAAAGGAGTTCAGATCATGGCATTTCTTTCTCCCACATCCGTGTGTGAGCACAGCAGCTCTGGGCTTCCCTGCAGGAGTCCACCTCCCAACCCCGACTTCTCTGCGGGTCAGAGGAAATGATGTTTAAAGGAGCATTTCCTGTCTGCCCTCCTGTCCAGCACCGTGTGCCTTCACACGCCTGCCACCCCTGAAGTGCGCCTGAGCCAGGGAGCTTGTAAATGGAACAAACCATTGGCCAGATCCCATGGTAGAAATAATTTTTTTTTTTGACACAGGGTTTCTCTGTGTAGATCTGGCTGGCCTGGAACTGTAGATCAGAGATCCGCCTGCCTCTGCGTGCTGGGATGAAGGGCACACACCACCACCCTCAGTTTAGTAACCTGTTCCCATTAGGACAGTGAAGTACAGAGCACACCGAGTTGGTGGGGAGGAGAGCCCAGTGGTACAGCACTTGCCTAACGGGAGGAAAAGCTGAAGAGATAGAAACATTTTGACTAGCCCATGTTAGTGGCACCAGGCAAGAAGAGCCACTGTTTTGTTCTGGTAGGACCGCGTGCTCTCCCTTCCCAGGGCCTCTTGATCTAATTGGCTTTCAGGGAGACAGTGTTGACAGAAGGCTAAGGAAGCTGCTAGGCTGCAGTCTAAGAGAGGGCTGCAAACTAGATTGGGAAGTTTAGCTGGGTCTGTCTCTGGTTTCAATGAAATACTTTTACAGTGTAGTTAGTAGTGTCTGTTGCTAAGTTTTTGAAAACCATTTTTCTTTTTTCTTAATTGTAGTTGCCTGGTTGTTTTTATATTATGAGCTACTTATAGAAAAATACAGGAAACATAATTACAATACAAAGCTCCCTTTCCCAAGCCTACTGAGATCATTTGAAACCAAACTGAGTTTTAGGGCTTTTTTTAACTGTATGTTCATAGCCATGAATTGCATCCATGCTGTGCTGGTTGATTTACTGCCGGCGGTATGTGAGTCAACAGTAACCAGTTCTCCTGAAGCTGAGGACTGAGAGGGGCGGGTGGACATTGCTTCATGACTCCAAACTGCACAGCTTCCTCTGGGGAAAAAGAAGGACTATCCTTGTGTGGCTTTTACACTAAAAGAGAAGCATTGTAAAAAGTATATACAAGTTTATTTAGGGAGAGTAAAGAGAAATAAATTACTTGGTTTGTTTTTCCACTTTCACTGGCAGCTCCAGGTAGCACTGTGCTAAAAATGCTAATTACTAATTCTTGTGTCCTACCTTTCCTGGGGAGTCTGGAAATGGGCTTTTAGGCCAGCAGAAATGACTTGCTTCACTCTGGTTAACACTCTGGGGAGGAAGTGGGTACTTCAGCATATTGTGACATGCAAAGCCTTTGGGAATTTGATTTATTCAAGCCTAAAAAGCAATGATGGATGATTGAGAACAAGAGTCCCTGAATGTCCTCTGCTAGAGTAAAGACTCAGGCAGGGAAATGGGAACCCGAATCCAGACCACCTTGCTGGGAATGCCCAGGTGAGCACCCCGTGGGACGCACAAATACTGTACCTAACACTCTGGCCTACCCATCTGAAATCCTGAACAAAGTGCCCTTGGCTGCCAAGTGCAGGAGAGGCCTTTTATTGCAACTTAGTTATCTGTGGTTGTCACTCAGAGCAGCTGGTCCACTTGTCTAAGAGTGCACAGCTAAAGTACAGTATCCTAATAACGTATCCATTATAAAGATCCCCCTTTTCCCTCCTGCCTTCCCAGTCCCTGGTTATTTTGTATCTCCGCATATGCAGCAGTAGATGCACTCATATGAATATACCTAACTGGCTTTTCCTGGTTTTTCCCTTTCCTCCCTCCTTTCCTTCCTTTCTTCCCTTTAAACCCATCTTGAAATGCCCATTAGTCTCGAGACCTACAATAAAGAACTGTATGAGGGTGAAGACACAGGATTTTCATCTTTACCGTTTCCTGTTAGTTGCCAGTCTTCCTTCCAAAAGAGTATCTTAAATGAACGAAAGTGAACTGCTCTTGCTAGATATCCAGGAAGCTCCTCATAAAGTCAGAACTGAGCAAGCAGACCAGGAGGCTTGACCTCAGCAGTATATGTTGGTAAGGTCCAGTCCTGGGCTGAGACAGTGTTCAGCAGTCTCCTCTAAAAGCAGCCTTGAAGGGGCATCTGGAGGTGAGAGGAGCTAGAGAAAGAGCCTGGGCTGACCAGAGGTCTCAGATGCACAGGGTCTGAAACTGAGGTTTCCGTGTTTGTCCCATTAGTCAAGAAAGAAAATCCCTATTTTCTAAGGAAGAAAGAGATTATAACAGACCCTCTGCAGTAGCCGGAAAATGAAAGTTTCGGTTTTGGAGTTTGTGGGTGCGCTGCTGGCTGGCAGAGAACTGTCTTCACCTTAGCAAAGCCAGAGCTGAGCAGAGGCTACTCCAAGCTTGTGCTGCCTAGCCTGCCTGCCTGCCTGCCTGCCTGCCCGCCTAGGCTGTCCCAAAAGCCAGAGACCAGAAGCGGGGTTTCCCCTGACTCCAAATCCAGGACAAGATGCAGGAGGCAGGAGCAGGACAAAGGCAGTAGACCTAAGACCGGACCTGGAGAAGTGTGGATTCTAGCGACCAGACACAGCAGATGGGTCGGAGTCCTCCAGGTCGTGGACCTGGAACGGCCATTGTGCAGCGAGCTTCGTGTCTTGGAAATTCAGACTTGATTTACCCCTGACTTTTGCCGAGAAGAGCAGTATTTCCAAACAGTTTTCCCAGTCGCCCTCCTGACAACTTAAATCGGATCGTATCTTACCTGATGGGACAGATTGGGAAAGGGGTACTCCACAAGCACACCTCATCTGCCCTCTCTCCGCAGGACTTTCTGCAGGGAGACTGCTCCAAGGCGCAGCAGAAACTGAACTGGAAGCCCCGCGTTGCCTTTGACGTAAGTTGTGTCTCCAATGGAAGTTCTCACAGCTGTTAGCTGTGAACCCTTGCTGGTGGACTGCAGTCAGGCAGGAGACCTTTCAGAGCCCTGGGAGGAGGTATTGCAGAAGAGGGTGGCAGAAACCCCGCCCTCATCACCCACCCTGGATTTCGGTTGCAGGAGCTGGTGAGGGAGATGGTGCAGGCCGATGTGGAGCTCATGCGGACCAACCCCAACGCCTGAGCGCATCTGCAAAGATTCCGAGGCATGGCCTATCATGCAGAGCCAGCGAATCAGAGTCCAGCCACTCCTGTGACCATCGACCCTTGACCTCCTGTGTTGTCCCCACAGCTAAAAGCTGGGTTATAAATTTGTAGGCACCAGGAGGGGACACTCCAGAGCTAAGGCCACTTTGCTTTTGTCGAAGGCCCTTCTGAATGGTTTTGGGAAATCAAGAAGTGTTAATCACATATTCATTTTACTTGAAATTATGTCACTAGACAACTTAAATTTTGGAGCTTTGAGATTGTTTCTCTCTTTTCTTATTAAATGATCTTTCTATGAACCAGCACTAACAGAGTTGCTTTGTGTGTGTTTTTTCCAGGTTATAATGTAGGCAGGTTATGGCCCCAAACAATAACAAAATCTACGGGTAGGGATGAAATATTACTTGGTTCCTTTGGAAAAGCTCCTGTTGGGAAGACCCCTAGCCTGAGCTGCCCTCAGCAGAGGCCTCGCTAGCTGTCTGCCTTGGACATACCTATCCCCTGCTGAATTGAAGCATTCATACCCCTTCTGATCTCTGCTGATTTTAATTAGAACCACTGAGCTCTCACCCTCTCAAAAAAAAAAAAAAAAGGCTCATGAAATGGGGTTGCTAAAAGAAGAAACTTGATGATAAGTAAATATTGTTGGAACATTACATGTGAAAGTCCCTGGGCTACCCAGAAGCCCCCTAACCTATGCCTCTTCTATGGCCTTTTGTACAGTATTTATTTCCAACCTCTTCTCATTGGTACTAGGTCACTTTTTAAACTGAATTTTGACTCATTAATTCAATCCAGTGCCTGATATATATCAGACATTATGCTGATGCTTCAACCCCATCAACATGAGCTAGAAGTTCTGATAAAGAGACTTAGAACCCAGGATCCAGCTTCACTGAGTTTATTATTTAGAATTCTGACTACAGGCCTGCATCTCTGAGCTGTGCACTGCACAGCTACAGGTGACACATAAGTGCACAGAACACCCCCAGAAGGCAAGCAAGGATCTGCTTGCAGGTATACACTCTTACATGAAATAGTATTTTGGCCTAGAACAAATTAGGTCAGGACTCTTCTCCCCCTCACTCCCCTTCCAAGCAAAATAAAATAAAACTTGAGCGAATGGCATTCCAATCTTTGCACATGCATGAGACTGAGGGTGAACTATTTCCGAATGTCTTCACAGGCAGGTTTATGATCTGGGGGAGGACCAGGGCTCCAGGGCTGGTGCAGAGAGGGCTCCTTGTGGAGCTCTCTATGCTGGGAGAGCATGCTGACTGGGGCAGCTTCAGCCCCCATGAAGCAGAACTAGGGCAGCCAGGCTGGCCCACCCGGTTCTCAGAAGCCACCCCAAGAAGAGCCTGCTGTTTCTATCCCCAAATGGGATGCTGGTAATTGGAAGCAGATGGTCTCTGGGAGGTGGAGCTTGTAGGACTGGGAAGGCTGGGGGGCATACACCCATGCATTGTCATACATGAACATGCATCGTCATCCACAACCTAAAACATACATCCGCTCAAATATACAGATTCACTCACAAACATGCCATCTCACACACTGTCGCGCACAAATCTTGCAAACATACCCAGAAGTCTACTGTCCCATACACACTCTCAAGTCTCACAACTAATGCTCCTTAGCCTTGACCTTCATGCATAAGCCTCCTCTGACCACCTAAGTCCCTCATTGAGCACCCACGAAAAGCCATTCCAAAGGCCTGCAGGCCTGCAGTGTCTAATTCAGTGTTTTGTGGCTCTCTATCCCACAGCCATAATGAACTCCTTAGGGCAGACCAGGAGAAATCCTGGGCAGGAGTTCCGTGTGTCTCCAGTGAAGCTAAATGGACATGGGCATGGGTTTCTGACCGAAGACATCTTTTTAATGGCAACCTTGTCACTATTCATGCCTCTCCATCACTGTTGGGGGCTCCTTTGGACTCTTGATTGTGTGTGTTTACAGGGAGAAAAACAGCAGTTGCTGTGTAAATCCAGAATTTAAATTTATGTGTTGAATTTTATGTAGTCATCTTCAAGACTTAAAGTATTTCTTCCATCTCATCTTGATTTCAGTCATTTTTGTGTGTCCCTCACACTTCTCCTCCCACCCCACTCTGTAAGCATTGGATTTTTATGTATTATAACACCTCTACACCTTGACACTATAGTAAAAACTAGCAGAGTTATTAGTACTCTCAGTTATGCCAGAGGCAAGTCCACATTTGTTCTTCAGAGAGAGGTCAAGCGCTTGGGTACCTGGGCACCACTGGTTTAGTGCCCTTCAGACTGTGTGACATCTGCTGCTCTTTGCCTTTAGTGAGCTAGGCCTGTCAGCTTCTGCAACTGTATATGGAGCAGGCAGAGTTGGGGCTGCCAATCTGAAGGGAAGGTTGGCAAGCAGTGTTTCTGTGGAAGAAGGAAACCTAAACTAAGGGAAGGAGTGTGCGGCGAGGGGGCACATTCCAGCAGAACTGCTTTGGGCTTTTCATTGCCGTTAATCACCTTCTCCAGAGCCAGTCTTAGAGCCCCACAGAAGCCTGTCAGGGGACAGGCTACACAGGAATGCCATCTTCCCTAGAAGCAGTACTGTCAACTTTCATTTTAAAATAATTCCCTGGGTACTAGGGGTGTATCTCAGTGTGGAAAACTTGTCTAGCGGGTAGGCTGTCAATTTATACATATAACACCACTAAATAAAGAAAAGACCTTACCGATATCATTTTAAAAACAACTTTTCAGTCCCATCACAAAAGGGGAGAAAAGCATTCAGGCACTGTCTTCATATTTGGGGATTAAAAACGGGCAGTCTATTTAGTTGTATCCAAATTTACTTCTTTCATGTCTTCCAGATTCTTCGTTGCAGTCTTAACTACTCAGCAGGCACCATGGGTGGGGAGAACTTCCACCCAAGTTTTACACAAAGATTGTATGTTCCTGTGCGTTTGTCTTACAAGAGATCAACATGTCCCATTATGACATCCGTACCTCTCCAAACATTGGAGTTTTTCCTCACAGAGAGAACTGAAAACTTTCACAAGTAACAATATCATCTGAGACACACTGCAGTTCTGGGCACTAGGCCACCCCCAATCGCCCTGCCTTCCCACAGTCCAGTGTCTGCTGGGAGCCCTGGAGACTAAGCCTTGAGGTCCCATGCTTCCCTAGACCTCCCATACACTCATCTGGACTGCATGCAGCAAGCATTCAGAAGATGTGCCTGACTGTAGCCACTGGAGCTGAGCCTTTGGCTGCCCTTACAGGGTGATGCTATGCCCTTCCCTCCCCACCCCATCTGACAGGTTCCTCCCTCCAAATGTATTCAGAGTGGACTCTCTCCCAGGAACTTTCCAAGGCCCCACTCCACCCACCTTCTATCACGACCTTTCCTCTTCTCCACCAAATGATCGTCTCTGAGCAGACCACCTGATCTTTCTGGCTGACCCCTTGCCCTGTGGCCTAATCCCCTAATGTCCATTTTCCAGGGCCAAGGGGTTTTATGCTGCCAGTCAGTGCACAGTGCCAGCTGCCCCTCTGGCCTCTGAATTCCTGGGCCAAGGTGCCTGCTCGGCTTGTGTGCACCCATCTGTTTGCTGTTGAAGAACAGCAACCTGCGGCCGTCCTCTGCTGATCACCTCAGATCACGGAGGTTCTGAGTCTCTTGGTTTCCTAGCTGTGACCTTGAAGAGGGAGTGGGATGCAGCACTGGGCCGGTACAACCAAAGGTTCCTGGGGATGCACCTGTCCAACCTCACCCCTCGAACTCGAACTCGACAGTCCTAAACCCGAAGAGGAGAGGCAGTGAGGAAGCGCTGTCCTTCAAAAGAAAACAGCCCTGACTGCTAAAATATGCCCTGTCCTAGACACCAGAGAGAACCACAGCCTCCCAGTCAGAGGCAAAAAGCTGGGAGGTTTGGGAAGTCAAATGAAAACTAAGACTCCACCAGCCAGACTACTCCAAGGGAGGCACTGGGCCCAGGCTGACCAGAGAGGAAGCAGCGCAGCCCGAAGTCGGACTGCAGTGGCGGGCCATGGGCGAGGGAATGTATATTTGGAAGGGGTCAGGACCTCGACTGGAGTCTGGCTTTTTATGGCGAGGAAGCTGACTGGGAAGGGCCTTCTGGCTTTCCTGTTGTGCCACTTTATCCCCCGCCCCCGTCCCTCCTGGCAGTGCTGCTTGCTGAGTATGATTGCCTGAGAGACAAGGGTGGAGGTCTTTTCCCTGGCGTCGAAGACCGGGACTAGGGACCGAGGGGTAGTGACCGTGCCTGTTTGGGGCGGGTAGGGCCTACCCTGGAACCAGCGGACAAATACAGGAAATGCCACATTCTCCCACTGTCACCAAATACATTTGCTGTAAATCACTTTCCTGCACCTCCCAGATTGTCTGGATGCTGAGCCTGAGTGGGTCAAGGAGGCCTCATAGAGAGCTCCTTGGGGTCCAGCGGGGGGAGGGTTCAATGTAGCACCTAGTTTTTTCAGAAAATCTAGTACCCATCCTGCACTTCGCAAGACGGCGCGTCTCCCATCTCCCTAAGGCTCTCCGCAGGACACTTAAGAGGAAGCACTGGCTGCCGCGCTCCTCTCTTGCCATCACTAGAGTCCTTCCGAGGTAGTATAATAAACTCATCTTTACAAGGCAGCAAGGACACCTCTGGCTCCTGCACCACTGCTTCTGGGACTCCAGAAAAATCTCCCAGGCCCAGAACACATGCTGCCTGAGAACTTTAGGCGGGCTGAGCCCAACTTTGGGAACTGCTGCTCAAACCGGCCTCCCGGGGCAGGCTTGCCGAGGCTCCTCTCTGCAGCTTGCAGCGCTGATTTTGCCCAACTCAGAGGTCAGTTTTCATCGCTCCTCTACCAGCAAATTTTTTAAAGAATGCGATCGCAGCACTGAAACCTGTATGGTATCCCTGATGGCTTAAGGGCCTGCAGCCATTAGGGACGCCTGCACAGGAGGGGAACAAGAACCCGAGTTTTGTTTTTTTGTTTGTTTGTTTGTTTGTTTTTTGGTGTGGTTTAGGTTTTTGTTTGGTTGGGGATTTTTTTTTGTTTTGGGCTGTTTGTTTTGTTTTTGATAATGATGGAAATTGGGAGGGCTTGAGAGTTACAGTCAGTCGCTAAATGTGCTGTTTTTCCTGCATTTACCCTAGGGTAGAAAATGGAAGGATGTCTCCTCTCCTTTAAATCCTTCCCAAAGCCCTCTGAACACTTCCATTTCCCAAACCGAACCCCCCTACACACACACAACCAAGACCCTTCCTTCCTTCCTTTATGCTTCTTTACACTGAAACGCCAGGCCTCTGCGCCCA